CTTAAAAACTCGTACGGTTTTTTTTTTTGTTTTTTCAACTTTCGTCTGTGAAGTCTTAAACTTTTTCAACTTTTACCCCCCCAAAGTACAAACTAGACAAAATTTGTGATTTATAGAGTTGCTATTCGAAGGAATTGGTCTAGTATTAAAAAAGTTACAGTGTATACAGCGAAAAAAAAAGCCCACATCAGAGTAAAACCAATACCTTCTCGCTTTGCATCGAAGCTAAAACATTTTTCTGGATTTTTGTGTAAAAGACATCAAAAGTGGTCAAATTATATGTTTTTTGGGTCGGTGATTACGAATTTAATATCAGTTCTCAATTTTAATCATCCGGAAAGAACTTAAGTAAAAAAAAAGTTGAATTTGTGTAAACTTCAAGTCAAAAGTGGTACTTGAGCACAAAACCTAAAAGTATCAATCTGCATAGATAAAAATAAAATTGTTTTAATGATTTGATCAATTTTTTTAAAATATTTTAGGTGTTTTTGTTAAAATATACGCAATGTGCGAAAACACGGTTTTCCGGCAATTAAAAAAAAACAGTAGTACCGAATTTTTCACCCGCCTTATATGTTATGGAAACATATGAGTTCCAACTACTGGCAAATTTTCAACCCAAAAGTTTTAAAATTACGGCTAAAAACCCCGAAAAACAAAAATACTTGTACCCCCCCTAGGGGAGCGGGAAATGGGTATATTTTGAATTTGACAAAACTGACGTGCGCGGGCATACCTAATAAATATTTCTTATACATTTCAACTCGATCCGACTCTTTTTCTCGATACTATAGCCAGTAAAAGTTCTAACTTAAAAACTCGTACGGTTTTTTTTTTGTTTTTTCAACTTTCGTCTTTGAAGACTTAAACTTTTTCAACTTTTACCCCCCCAAAGTACAAACTAGACAAAATTTGTGATTTATAGAGTTGCTATTCGAAGGAATTGGTCTAGTATTAAAAAAGTTACAGTGTATACAGCGAAAAAAAAAGCCCACATCAGAGTAAAACCAATACCTTCTCGCTTTGCATCGAAGCTAAAACATTTTTCTGGATTTTTGTGTAAAAGACATCAAAAGTGGTCAAATTATATGTTTTTTGGGTCGGTGATTACGAATTTAATATCAGTTCTCAATTTTAATCATCCGGAAAGAACTTAAGTAAAAAAAAAGTTGAATTTGTGTAAACTTCAAGTCAAAAGTGGTACTTGAGCACAAAACCTAATAGTATCAATCTGCATAGATATAAATAAAATTGTTTTAATGATTTGATCAATTTTTTTTATATATTTTAGGTGTTTTTGTTAAAATATACGCAATGTGCGAAAACACGGTTTTCCGGCAATTAAAAAAAAACAGTAGTGCCGAATTTTTCACCCGCTTAATATGTTATGACAACATATGAGTTCCAACTACTGGCAAATTTTCAACCCAAAAGTTTTAAAATTACGGCTAAAAACCCCGAAAAACAAAAAAACTTGTACCCCCCCTAGGGGGGCGGAAAATGGGTATATTTTGAATTTGACAAAACTGACGTGCGCGGGCATACCTAATAAATATTTCTTATACATTTCAACTCGATCCGACTCTTTTTCTCGATACTATAGCCAGTAAAAGTTCTAACTTAAAAACTCGTACGGTTTTTTTTTTTGTTTTTTCAACTTTCGTCTGTGAAGTCTTAAACTTTTTCAACTTTTACCCCCCAAAGTACAAACTAGACAAAATTTGTGATTTATAGAGTTGCTATTCGAAGGAATTGGTCTAGTATTAAAAAAGTTACAGTGTATACAGCGAAAAAAAAAGCCCACATCAGAGTAAAACCAATACCTTCTCGCTTTGCATCGAAGCTAAAACATTTTTCTGGATTTTTGTGTAAAAGACATCAAAAGTGGTCAAATTATATGTTTTTTGGGTCGGTGATTACGAATTTAATATCAGTTCTCAATTTTAATCATCCGGAAAGAACTTAAGTAAAAAAAAAGTTGAATTTGTGTAAACTTCAAGTCAAAAATGGTACTTGAGCACAAAACCTAATAGTATCAATCTGCATAGATATAAATAAAATTGTTTTAATGATTTGATCAATTTTTTTTATATATTTTAGGTGTTTTTGTTAAAATATACGCAATGTGCGAAAACACGGTTTTCCGGCAATTAAAAAAAAACAGTAGTGCCGAATTTTTCACCCGCTTAATATGTTATGACAACATATGAGTTCCAACTACTGGCAAATTTTCAACCCAAAAGTTTTAAAATTACGGCTAAAAACCCCGAAAAACAAAAAAACTTGTACCCCCCCTAGGGGGGCGGAAAATGGGTATATTTTGAATTTGACAAAACTGACGTGCGCGGGCATACCTAATAAATATTTCTTATACATTTCAACTCGATCCGACTCTTTTTCTCGATACTATAGCCAGTAAAAGTTCTAACTTAAAAACTCGTACGGTTTTTTTTTTGTTTTTTCAACTTTCGTCTGTGAAGTCTTAAACTTTTTCAACTTTTACCCCCCCAAAGTACAAACTAGACAAAATTTGTGATTTATAGAGTTGCTATTCGAAGGAATTGGTCTAGTATTAAAAAAGTTACAGTGTATACAGCGAAAAAAAAAGCCCACATCAGAGTAAAACCAATACCTTCTCGCTTTGCATCGAAGCTAAAATATTCAAATATATATAATAAACATTATTTAACAAATGTTATTTAAACTATATGGAAACTGTGTTGTTAAAGTATAACGCAAATAGCAATTAATTTTTGTAATATGTTAAGTATGATAAGAAAACTTTTGGTTGGAACATCAAAGACTGTATTAATTTTTTTAACATCATTCTAATATGCATACAGATTACAGAGTCTTCAAAATGTAATAACTTTTTTCTTTTAATTACCTATTATGTATTATAGGTGCTTGTGCGTTATTGCAACTATCGCATGTGCAAATTATAAATATAATATCAAACAGCTATACGTAGAAATTGGATACAATTTAGCCAGAATTAGGTAACAAGCTTGTTCTGTTTGTCAGCGTTATTAAACAACAATTTATAAAATGTGTTATCTCTAATAAAACGGTAATCATTTTCAAAAATTTTTGTAAATATGTATATAATGAATAACATGTACTTTATAGAAAAATTATATTATAACCCATTCAATGTCTTATTATACCCGAATAATAACAAAAATATTATGTAAGTATAAATTAATAATTATACAATTATTGACATTATACAATATCTTTATCAATTTAGTATGTTTGTTTGATAATATTAAACCAAGTAGTGATAACTGATAAGTATAAAATGTCAACCGAAAAAACAAAGTACATTATTCCAGTATTATTAACGGCATATTATGCTTCCCGTGTAAATGATGACATTTTCTTCGTGTAAATCAATGTCCATTCTGATTTTATCTATTCTGTTGTATTATCTATGATCATTTTATTATGTGGAGCCTATGACCGTGAGAACCTGTGACCGAATTTTTTTTTTTAAATAGAGCGCTTATTAGTTAAATAAGTGACAAATTTTAAAAATCTATTTACAATTACTCACAAATTTATTATTTAGGGAGGCTGGGGAAAATTTTGAAAACGATGTAGAGGGGCGAAAAATAAGTTACAAATTTAAAAAACGTGGTTACAATCACTTTAAAATTACTTATAATTGTTTTGGATCTATTTTGATAATATAAGGGAGCTAACTTAACACACGTCACGGACACAGCAAAAAATGTATATGTTTTCAAAGTGTTGACGAATACGTTTTAGTTATGTCATTAAGACGTTTTGACGCCAAACTTTTGGATGTTTTTCTCAAATTTTAAAGGGGCGAGATGAAATTTTTAAATATTTGTCTTTATAAATACAATCCGTGTATGATTTCTGATCTGCAAACATGATACATGAAGTAATTGGTTCAAAAATATTTCAAATAAAGCCCAGGTTTTATCTGTAGCTAAACTACGCCCTATATACCTAGTTGTTGGGTATAGCTATGGTATTTACTATAATTTTGAAATCAATATATTATTCGAATTTGACAAGAAACTCGCCTGGTCTAAAAACGGCGTCAAGTGTAGACAGTTTAGCTACATGAAAGAATAGCGTGCTTCGTTTGGGCATCTGCCCACATATTTCACTTTTTAATAAATCATTAAATAGTTTTTTCGACTGAGTTTTTGACTATAAAAAATTTCAATTAATCAACTTAACTTAGTATTCAGGGGAATCGATAGTAAGACATTTTTTTTTGTTTGGTCGCATACCTAATCAATTTTTGTAGATGAAACACTATAATTATTATACAAACAAAGCAGGATATTATTTTTATTATGTTTTCTTATTGTTTTCGGTTCGCGTCCACGTGAAATGTCTGAAAGGACTAGAACTGAGTACACGTGTACGATGATTTGAAAATGTGCTATACTTAAACGAAATAAGCTTAAATTTTTTTTTATTGAATTCAAAATAATTTGGTATACTCATTAAAAATCAATAATACGTTAGATATAAAGATATTCGATAAATATGTAAATCTCCCAGAGATATAAAACGTTCAAATATTCATGTTCAATTGCATTGTTTTACTTTTAAATCACATTAAAAAAAAAAATTGTCAATAATGGCTTTTTCAGGTATAACTCTTATTGCTGTGTAGGCAATTTCAACTATTAAAGTAGAGCCAATTTTGCAAACTACATCAGTTTAAACTTTGGAATTGGGCTTCAGACAGCCGTTAAGTTTCACCTAATAACATTCAAAAGTCAAATTTAAAAAAAATCAAAGGCGGCTAGAAAATCAAGGGTTCCAAACTTTTTAAACATCCATATATATATATATATATATGTATAGATATAAATCATTTCTTAAAAAACTTTTGACGTCTCCGAACACCTGCTCTACGTTCCGTCCCCACTATGCCCCGATCGCACTGTGCTGTTTTTTTTTTCTAATTATATCTAGTGCGTACAAATTAAACAGCAACTGTGCACATTTCAAAGAGCTAGTATATCAAACGTAAGGCAAACAAAAAATTTGACGTATCAATTAAAGTTTTAGTAATTACAATTGTCCCGAGCAAACAATTAGTACGTGTCTTTTGCCTTCGCTCGGAGGACTGTCGTGGCAGACTGACTTGGCAGAAATCGAGTTAATCTAGACAGTTTGATTTTTGTAGACCATGTAGGTAATATTTGTTTTGTAAATAAAAAAAAGAAGTCGGCGCTAAAACGGTTTTACCATGGAAAAAAATGTTATTGTTAAGTTTTTAATCGCGTTAGCCGTTTTGAAGAACGTGACTCGGTGTAACGGTAGACTGTCTGCGGCCGAAGTAAATCATGTCAACTACATGAGTAGACTAGAACATTGGCAAGACATGTGGTTTCATAAGGTCAAAACTTTCGGTCCTTACTGGACATGGAAACGCAGATTGTCTACATCCAACGTCCAATTCGGGCCAATAGACAAGTTGAAAACCATACCCTTCATGATGGGATGCGGTTACGGACAGAAATTAAACGATTTCCTCAGATTAATGGCCCACACGATCGACGAGTGTAACAGCATTTCACCGAAGTTTGTCGCCGACGATTGTTGGAGTAAGCTGAGAAGAAGTGTTGCAACAGGTGCGTCCGTTATGTCACTCTTGGTAGGCGTGTTCAGGCTACTCCATGCTTTTGACAAAAAGGTCGTTGCTAGTCCGTTTTTCGAGCCTATGGAGAGGATTCGACTATTTCTCAAAATAGACGGGCATAACTGGCCAATCATGTTCTATGCGCATTCCTTGGAGATCATTTTGATCACTGACTGTAAACCTGAACACAGCGTGGTCAATACAGAGAAATTAGCGGCTGAATATAGAAATTTAAATACCATAATTAACCTTTACGATTATTATGTAAGTACTCTGGATTCTTACACCGGATATATAAGCGAGCACTTGCACCGCCTTGGTTTTCAATACAATGAAGACACAGAAGAAACTTTTTATACAACTCCTGTTCTAAATGAATAATACTACCAAAATTCAGTATTAAGAAAATGCAGACTAGACAACGTTTTACATGTTTTTTTCATACAAAAATGGTAAACTCGTTATAAAAATACATAAAATATGCCACGTTTGTTGTACCTCATTAGTATAACTCGCGTTACATTACATTTTTTTTTTCAATAATAAAAAATCAATTGTAAGAATTATTTTTAGATTTATTAATTTAAGTGTTTTTAATAAATGTAATAAATATAAAAAATGTGTATAGTATGTATTTTCATTGACTTTGTAATTTCGTCATTAAAACTTCATTCACTAAAATCCTTCAAGACATCCGTAAGATCTTGAACACCATCCATGTACATGATAAAATCATTCAAAGGAATTTCCGTAGATTCTTTTTGAAATGGCGACATTTGGACATATACTAAGCAATCCTTGAACGTATTTTCTACAGCCTGACATTTATTAACAGTTGAATTCCAAAAAAACTCAGATTATAATGTTTAAATACATATGTGTAACAGTGGCAACACTGTTGAGTGGTCTTCTAGTATCAGACTACATTATAATATACTGTCACTTAATGTGTACTATGATAAAATATTTTCCTCATAATCCTTTGTTCATTATTATTATTATGGGGTATTTGTTATTTGTTATTAAAAATTGTGTATTGTTATTAATAAAGAATTCGTTTAGTGTATAATGAAAATCGGTTATCTTATTAATTACATTGAAGAAACAGATTTACATATTATATACCTAAACATAACATTAACTTACGTGCAATAAAACAAAATATATCATTTTGTTAATTTATTATAAATAAAAGTATAAACTGTATTTATGTGTTATTATTATTTTTTTTTAATGGGAAAATTTAATTTTTGTATTTTTTTACTAAAAATAAAATATTTATTACACGAAACATACAAAATGGTAGTAATTTATTATTTTAAGCCATTTTTTCTCGTGGAAAGAGTAAAGTACAAATGTTCAAAATGGTCATACAACTTGAGTACTAATTTTTGGCATAAAAAAAATGTTAATTATCTCGTTATTTGTACTGGGGGGCAGGGAGGGCTGGAGAAACGTTTCTACAGCCCCCTCCCCCTACAGTTTTTTCGTTTTTCCTTTATAACGGCAATCTTCTTAAAGCTACACCGTAAGACCGCTTAAACTTCTCATTAAGGGGATTGAAAGCGATCGGGTTTTTTGGACGTTTTAGATCTAAGGACTAATTTTTGACAAAATTAGCCAATTACTTAGTCCTTTTTCAGTTCTTTATAAATATTAGAGTTTATCGGCCACTTGTCTAGGTGACGGTGGGTATTGATTTTTGACATTTCAATTGAAATTGTGTTAAAATCCTATTTGAATCTCTCAAGTTTTTAGTATTCCTATTGTTTTTTTTTTTTCAACAAAAGTTACTTAAAAATTGACTACCACAATAATCTGGGAAAATGATCGACGAGCTTAAGTATTTTTACAGAACTAACTAAGTAGTTGTAATTTTGTTAGGCTTTAGGTCTTTATCGGTTTCTCGTATGAACAAAATGGCTTTAATAACCTACCCGTTTTTACAAAATCTTAATTTAAATGTTCAACTGTGATGTGTAATTATTAGTTCAATAACTAGGACTCTATTTAGTTAGGTAGTTAATTTATTTTTTGAACTATCACAGCATCCTTGAAAGCGATTTTAAAATGTTTTTTCATCTCTACAAGTTTAAGCAGACTGAAAATAACTTGCTTAATTTTGGTTTAAGAAAAAAAGCACCCATTATAAAATTAAAAGAAAACAATATTCTCGAGGGCAAAACGGTGGGTTTTTTTTTTCATTATTCCAAGTATAACGCTCAATACATAGTTTAGAAATAACGACTATTTTAACATTTTTAAATGACTGTAACTTTTCAAAATATGATTTTTTTTTTTAAAAAACACCGTCTTGCCCTTTAGAATATTCTTTTCTTTTAATTTTATAATGAGTGCTTTAACTCTAAAACCAAAATTAAGCGAGTTATTTTCAGTTTGCGTAAACATGTTTTTACCACTGAAAATCGCCGGTGCGACGCCCTCTTAATTATTATTTTTAATCGCACCAAGTTCTAATAAAATTATAAATATAAATTCATAAAACAACAATTTACAACTAATATCTTCATAATATAATATACTGAAAATACTTGTAATTTGTATATGTATTTTTTATTAATGATAATTTATTTAGTTGATTACTTTATATTATAGTTAATAATAATATTATAAATTATTGAAAAATATACATAATTAAGTATATGCTAATTTTAAATGAAATATGATTTATGATTTGTGAGATACATATATTTAATTAAATGTTGAATACATAATAGTTATTTGGTTTATCCTTAGATGTAGATATAAATTACATTTCCAAACATCACTATTGTACTAAGCATCAGATTAAAGATTATTCAGCAATGCAAGAAAATAACATTTGCTTAAACTGTTAAATGAATGAAGGAAGTAACACTTGTTGTCTAAGAAAAATAACTGTGAAACAAGGAGTATGTTTATTATACGTTTATTCATTTCAAATCCTTATAACTTAAAATATTCAGAGACCATGTTAAGTATAGAACGGTAAATCTTATATTGTTATCATATTTTTTCTAATAATTTTTTAGCAGAAAATACAGTTAGTAAGTAACAAGCAAATCTTGAATTTTCACACTGGCTAAACATTTGGCACATTACACCATAATTTAAAAGACTATAATTTAAATTAAAGATTTTAGATAAGTAATATGACTAGAGACAATAATTTTGTAGTATGAAAATTATTTATGCGGGGGACAATGCTGCAATACCTGGTAACACTTTTCCTGTAAATAAAAATACAATAACAAAATTCAAAAAGGTTTTTATATTTTAAAATTAAACTAACTGCAAGTAAATATTACACATACCTTCAAGTAATTCAAGGCCAGCACCGCCTCCAGTACTGACATGACTTAATTGGCTTTCAGTGCCCCACTTAGCTGCGCATGTAGCTGTATCATCATCACAAATAATAGATACAGTACCATTTGCGGTCGCCTTTACGACTGCATCCATTACAGACTTTGTACCGGCTGTAAACTTTTCAAATTCAATGGCTCCAACAGGTCTATAATGGAATATAGGAAATACAAATATTTATTTTATTATAATTACTTTATTAAATAGTGTAATTGGAATAATTAAAAATAAATCTAATAAATTTACCCGTGCCATACAATAAATTTAGCACGAGCAATTGGCTCGGCAAACAATTTCAGAGATTTCGGTCCACAATCTAAGCCCATCCATCCTTTGGGTACGCCTCCTCCAGTAATAGATGCTAAACCAGTATTTGCATCTTCAGCGAATTTATCAGCGGTAACAAAATCGACGGGTAAGTGAACTTTAATGTTGCGAAATAATGCTTTATATATAAACTTGTTAATAAGGTTTGCCCCAGTTTCGTCGTAAAGAGAATTGCCAATCTAAAAAAATGCATACAATATCTGTTCACCGAATAACTTTATTTTATAAAATTTACTTCTTACTTCCATGTCATTTGCTTGTTTCAAGAAAGTATATGCCATACCCCCACCAATTATCATCTCATCGACTTTGCCAAGTAAACGTTCAATGAGCCAAATCTTATCGGTAACTTTGGGCCCTCCTAATATTGCCAAGATCGGTCTGAAATTAATTGGAAATGTTAATACAACTTTAAAACGATATCAGAAATAATCAATAAATTAAAATGGATAAATTGTTTTTACCTTTCGGGATTATCCAAAGCCTTGGCAAAATATGTCATCTCTTTATTTAACAAAAATCCCGCAGCCCGCTTTTCAAATCCTTCAGCAAGCATAGAACTATGAGGTTTATGCGAAGTACCAAAAGCATCATTAACGTATACGTCACCCAATTTCCGCAATGACTCTCTGAATTCTTTAACTTTTCCTTTGTCGGCTTTCACTCTTTCACCAGCTTCGTTTACACATTTTCCCTCTTCTTCAATATGGAACCGGAGATTCTCCAAAAGAAAAACAGTACCTGGAGCTGGATCAGCGCAAGCTTGTTCAACATCCGCCCCAACACAATCGGGCAAAAATGTAACATTCCTAAAGTATACAAATATTTAATTTTATGAAACATGTATTGAACTTGATTGCTTTTTGTTTTTTACGAAATATTTGTCCACGTCGTTTTCGAGGATTGTAGAAAGGGATGATTTGCTATAGAAAAAAAAAGGTAAATAAAGAATGGACTTTTAAAACATTTCAAGATGACAGGAATAATGAAATAATAGAATCAAACAAATTTAAGAGAAATGTAAATTATCACATATTTCGTGTAACATAAAACAATTTAGCAATGACAGACAGGCTGTCGCTCATATAAAAAAATATTAGGTACTATACTAAACTAATAATATATTAGATATACCTTTGACCACCATATTATATTGTACACTGTTTTTTAAGCAATTAAAGTTCCTACCGTCCCCGCTTTGAAAGTATTGCTTGAACACCTTTCCTATGGGATGGTCGCCACTAAATTTGAATGGTTCTTTTTAAGTTGTAAATCATATCAGCTTACCAATAGCGGATAAGTCGCCAGAGACTTAACAAATAAACACATTTTTTTTAAAAAAAAATTGTTGAACTACATTTACATGAATTAAACATTTTAAATAAAACCGATTTGACAGTAAAGTTGACTTAAATATTTTAACTTTTTCGTAAGTGTTATTTCTGTATAATGTAGTCATTTTTTTAAAAAGTTTTATTTACATTTTGTTATTTTGTTTAAACCATTTTAATCTGCATATAGGGCGTTTATTGTAAAAGTGGTGTAACTCCAAATTT